GGAGGAAACAGTTTGGAGATCTAATGCAAAGCTGGTTTTGCTTTTTCTGTCATTCCTGCTCTCTGGGCACCCGTTGTGGTCAGTGGCAGCACAGCCCTGAGCTCACTCAGGGGGGAGCACAAACCAGAACTCTCGTCAGCAAGAGGAAGTAAATGAACTGGCTGGAAGGTTGGTTAAATTGCAGATGGAGAGAGAAGCTCTGCTGGCCTTTCTTTTTTATTCTGAGTAAGGCTGGGTGACACCTGCACACTCAGTGTTTCAAGCTGCAGGAGGAGACACTCCGTGTTCTTGCTTAACTTTTCAGATATCAGTCATAGATGTCTTAACGAATCACTAAGAAACTTGCATGATATATATCAGTGTTCCAGTAAAATAAAAGCAATAAAACCTTTCAAAATTCAAAATTTTAATCTTTTTTTTTCCCAGGTGTTACTGTCACTTTATATTTTTTCCCTAAATGCTATAGCTAAAACTAACTATGAATGTTTTTTCTGTGTTTTAAAGCTTGTTACAACCTCCCAGATTTCTAATTTTTGGAAAAGTACCTGTGCCCTGTGATGACTCCCTTGGGATTGAGCCTGTTAAGGCTCTTCCCATTTTCCAGAGCTCTCCTCAGCTGTGCTAAGCAGTGCCCAGCACTGCACAGAAGCTGTGCTTGCTCTCAGCTCCTGGAGGCTGCAGAGGCCTTGAGCTGGAGAGCTGCCACCTCATATTGCTACTACCACACTAATACTGATCGTAACTGCTGTGGCTTCCCCCCCAAACCCTGCTCAAACCTCAACAACACCCATCTGGACTGGTACTTTTATGTTAAAAATTATAATGAAGAGTAAACTCATTGCTAAGAGTAGCAGTGGCAGGGATCACTGCTGAGAACTAGACACATCCTAATGGACTGCCCAGGTCTGTAGGAGATGGGATCTACAAGCTGAGGACAATGAGGGGTGATTTACTTTCCCAAGGTGGTATAAAAGGTTGTATTTCACTGTGAAAGAATCCTGGTTGCTGTATCACTGTACATACACCAACAAATCTAAATATAGAATCATGGAAACATGGAATGATTTTAGTTGGAAAGGACCTTGAACATCATCCAGTGCCCAACCCTGGCATGCTCATGGGCACCTTCCATTATCCCAGGTTGATCCAAGCCCTGTCCAACCTGGTGCTGGACATTTCCAGGGATGAGACAGTCACAGCCTCTCTGGGCCTCACCACCCTCCCAGGGAATAATTTCCTCCTAGCATCCCATCCAGCCAAGCCCTCTGGCAGCCTAAAATCATTGTCCCTTCTCCTGTCACTCCCTGCCTGTTTAAAAAAATCCTTCTGCCTCCTTTTCATAAGCCCCTTAAGGCACTGGTAGGCCAAAATGAGGTCTCCCTGAATATATGAAGCATAACTTAAGTAAGAGACAAGCAGTGCCAGAGGAAAGCAATGGGAACACTTTGGTATCACTTCAGTCCTGCTAAACACAGATTTATTGAGTATCAGACTTAAATTTCTGTTAGCCCAGTAGAGCAAGTGCTGAAAGTACAGCTTCATCCTTCCCAGCCCTGTGGAGCCTTTCCCTGAGCGTTTCAGTTTGTCCTCTGTACCTGTTTGTCAGTGCTGCTCCTGATAACATGAGTTTCAGTCAGCACAAACCATGACTCACCAAACCTCAGCCAGAACTATTTGTTCGTGTTTGTTCAGCAGTTTGAAAACGTAAAGTGTTTCAGAGGTACTTGGTGCCACAAACACTGGCTACAAATATGAGTCAGGGAGGATGGGATAACAGGGCCTGGCTCCACTCGGGCACAGTCCTGGAACCTTGGGATGTACGTGACAGCCAGCCCTGTGCAGGGCATGAAGTGCCTTGAAGGTAATAACACGCTGCTCTTCTAGTCTCAGTTTTATTCCAAATTACTCCAGTGTGTTTGGAGGTTCCCATAAATATATTCATCCCTGCTCCCAGCATGAAATACCCAGACAGGATGTAAGAGCTGCACAAAGTGAGACAAAACACCAGGTTAAGGTGACACTCTGAGGGGAAGGGAGGGAGGTAGAGTGTTAATTATCTGCTTGGGCCAAAAGCTCTAGTTGGGTCTTGAAAATTATAGGGTTTTTAATCTCAGGACTTCAGTTTAATTCTCATGCTCCAAAGCCTGGAATATGCAGCTTTATATTAGTTTTAGATGACTGTAGTCCAAGGTTTGAACTACCCCCAAACTCAAAGCCTCATAATCTTGGCTGGATCATTACACAAGTCATTAACAACAGTAATCTAAATTTTAAAAACCCCAACAACCCTGAACAAAATAATACAAATGGTGCTGTGTACTCAAAAATGCATTTTTTTCTTTGTAAAGATAAAATAAATAAACCACAATTTGCCTATATCATAAAAGCAGCTACCTGATCCCTGCCAGTTCTTTGTTTTTATGATTTTGTTGTTCTAGTTCCTCTTTTCCTCAGTCTTTACCTCGAGGAGTTGCACTCTGTGGACCCATGGGTTGCTCTAGTAAAGGTTTAATTCCACATTTTCTGGGTCTTTTTCCTTATCCTGGCAGGACTCAGCTCAGAGCTGCTCTCAGCCCTCCCAGCCTCAGGAGCACACTGGAAGCTGCACGTAGCACATCAGGGGTGACTTGTCAACGTTATTTATGTGCCACCAAGGAAACTTTAATTGTTAAATTAAAGTCAGGAGGGCAAATAAGGGCTTCTTGCAGGAATAACAGAGCCTTTCCTCAGAGGAGATCTGCAGAGACAGTAGCTATTGACCTACATAACATGCTCTGGGACTTCTGTAGAATCAATCTTGCACTTTCATGGTTCTCTGCCCTTTTATTTTAATGCTGAGGGTCTTTGCCTTCACATTAAGATTTTTTACTCCTTGCTACTGGCTAATTTTTCCTAAAGAAAAAATAATCTCTATTTATGGGCCACAAAAGGTCTTTGATGACATTTCCACAACCTGGCCTTAGGGAAACAATGTCTGCTCCCAGTAAGATGAAGGTGGTTATACAGGTTCTCATCCATAACAGTGCTCTCTGTACCCAGAAACTAACTGAAAATTATCTCATCCAACTTTTTCTTCTGGATCACATATTGAACAATCCAAGAAAAATATTTAGCATTTAGGAAAAAAGTTTTTTAATTACTCCAAATTCTTAAAGACTTCTCAAACATAGAGAAGTAATCACACCCTGTGTCCCTCTTCAATTATCCTCCCTCTGGATGATTCCACTGCACATGGCAATATAAATAAGTAATTATCTCATTGTAATGTGGATCTAAAAATAAAATTCAGGCTGGACTAACAGAAATGGTCAAGTGCTTTGCTCAAAATTACACTGAGAAGAAAAACAAATACAGAAAATCCAGACTTCCAAAGCACTGAACATACAGCAGCCTGGGATCTTGGGTTATCCTGCAAGCTTAGGGCTCTGATGGCTCAACTGCAGGGCCAGAAAGCAAAAAAAAAAGTCTCTGAGGATGCTGAAAGGGACTCTGCATCTCAGATAAATCCCCTGGCCCCTTTTGGTCAGATCTGGTCAGTGGCTCTGGAATTACATGGGAAGTTGAGCTCCTAAGCATGGAATTTTATATGGTATAAAGATGTGGTTGCTCTCACCACCTTTACAGCTGGGTGCCCCTCTCCTGCTCAGCCAGCACCAGGCTGAAGATGGACTTGCCTGCCCCTCCTGGGAGATCTCCAGGCTGCCTGCAGTGCTGCTGCCTGTCTCAGTGTACATTTCAGCTGTAATCCTGCCTGGATAAAGCACTTCCAGAGGACCACTTTCCTGCCACGGTGAACTATCCATTAGGAAGGACTCTTTATGCTGTCTTGTGAGTGGTGGGTGAGGAGCCACCTCTCCAAGCAGTGCAGTCCCCTGGCCATCATGGGTTCACTGAGTGGTTTGGCTTAGGAGAGACCTTAAGGATCACCTTGTACCACCCCTGTGACATGGACTGGGACACTTTCCTCTAGCCCAGGTTGTTCCAAGCCTTGTCCATCCTGGCCTTGAACACATCCAGGGATGGGAGATCCATCTCTGGGCCACCATGTCACCCTGTAGCTGGAGAGAGAGCGGCTGCTGTCCCAACACCAAGCACACACCAGCACTCACCCTGCACTGAGCTGTTCCCATAGTGTGGTTTCTGCCACACCAACCAATGTGAGTAGAATTTTTAGAATGTGCAGATAATGTTAGCAAAGCCCTCAAGTGCAAAGCTGAAATTAGAGGCATTGTTTCCTGTAGCATCTCTGTGTGGTCACTCAAGAAGGGAGAGTGGAACAGGGTTGGGTGATTGTGCAATGAGAACAATGTGAGAGAGATGGTTATCAGGGACAATGCTCCAACGATATTGTTGCATGAAACTTCTCTTTTAAAAATATTTCCACATTTAGAACATGCAAGCATGTCACTAAAGAGCAAATAGAATGGTTACTACTGTCCTGATGCTTTTAAATATTTTAATCAGTTAGGAATGACAGCATGTAGAGCACTTCTGTGTCTAAAGATGGCTCCATGTGAGAATCATAGAATTATGGAATGGTTTGAGTTGGAAGGGACCTTAAAGGTCATCCAATTCCACCCTCCTGCTATCAACAGAGACACCTTCCACCAGACCTGGTTAAGAAGCTTGAAGGGAATTCAGAAAAACACCAAAATTCAAAGTGTTGCAGAGAAGTAGGGAAAGGATCAGTAATGGAAAGAGGATGTTTCCTAAACACAAATGCAAAGTGCTACACTTAGGGGAAAAAAATGAAATGTAGTAAATTACCTTCTGAGAGTCTTTCCAGCTTTCCCTCTCCCTTGGTTCTGCCACCCAACATCCTGTTGATACTAGGGAATTAGATGGAAATACCCCAGGAATTCCCATTTTTCATAAAATTTCCTACTTCCCTAACAACACTGCAGTATGTGTAGGGGTGTGAAGGGTGTCTCCAAGGCAGAGGAGCAGCCAGCTCATGGCACTCTGGGAATTTACATTCCCTGTGACCAGTTAAGGCTCCCTGCAGTGCAGCAGCAAGGACTGCACCACAGGCTTGGGATAAGGGAGGGAATGTTGCTATTCTGAAATGCATCTAAACCATGAGAATAGTTTCCAAGCAGAAACCTGCAGCAGGTCTCATGTTTTCCATTGTCACATGTGGATATTTTGGGTGGTGGCCATGATGTGTGTACTGGAACACAAACCACAGTTACAACGTGTAAGGGTTCTCACCAAACCCAAGACTTGCTGATGAGCTGATTACCGGTTACTTTTCCAAATACATTAATATGTCACTTACTGACAAGAAGAGAGCCCCCTCAAAACTATAAAACTATTAAAAACCTCTATGAAACACTTTGGTAAATCATGGTTTACTGGGAGGCTTCCTGCATGTGTCACAAAGGCTGAAACACCAACCTACACTCTCTGTACAGCGTAGGGATTCCTGTACCTGAGGTTTTCATCACATACCAGTGGCTCTTCACACTGATTTTCAGGCCTGGCTTGTGATGATTCCTGCAGAATCTTGTTCTTACCGTTGTGGATAGAGTTATTAGGAGGAAATTCCTCTTTGTGAGGGTGGTGAGGCCTTGGCATATGTTGACTAGAGAAGCTGTGTCTGGCCCATCCCTGGAAGTGTCCAAGGCCAGGCTGGACAAGGCTTGGAGGAATTTGGGAGAGTGGATGTGTCCATGCCTATGGTGGGAGTGAGGGGCACTGATGATCTTCAAGGTCCTTTCCAAACCAAACCCTCTGTGATTCCATGTTTCTATTATTTGGTGTTTTTTCAAGGCTGCATAGCAAAAGATGGGAGCCTGAATTCTGAAACTGTAGCCTCAGCTCTTCTTAGGTCAGTCTTAGAATTCTTTGGGAGGTCATAGACACTGCTTGACTCTGAATGGGAAGAGCAATTTTTTCCTGACTTACTGGTGTGTTGTGAGACTCAAATCACACAGTTCATTTTAGGATTTGAGCAGTTCAGGTGAAGCGGGGACAAAGATTATGGTGATTACTTCTCACCAAGGTATTTTGGAACTGCAGTACTGAGACTGCAAAATGGAAAATAAGATAAAAACATGTTTTGATACATTTAATCTCTTCCAAAGGCAGCTCTATGCTCAAAGCAGCCCTTTACCTCTCACTCCCTCCTAAGCTGATCTGCCAGTGATTTTTGGGGATACCACTCCCTTTTCATGCCCTGGATCCAAGCCACTAAAACTGCTGCAAATTCTAGCAGTTTTTACTCTAAAGAAAAGGAACCATCAAACACATGGTTGTCAACAACTCATCCTGTAAAATGAGCCACATAACAGCATTAATGTAGGAATAATTTAACTCATTGAATATCACCTCCAGAAATGTTGGGTACAAGGTATTTTAGATGTTTTACACAAAGTAACACTTAAAGAAAAAAGTGATTAAAGTGAAAGCACTCTCTAACTACCAGCCTGAGGACTAGAGTGAACCAGTCTCTTTAGAACATTATAGCCCCTCAGGTTACTGAAAAGGAGTGTAGGAAAAGCTGTTCTCAGGCTGTGGGTTAACAGCTCACCAGATGCCCTTTTATAAGCCCTGTAATGTACCGAAACCCCAAAACCACTGTAATGTGATAAACTCACCAGCCTCACACATGCCAGCGTTCTGCAGGTAAGTCCGGCACCGCTCCTTGTGCTCCTCTAACGAGCTCCTCTGCTTGTAGCTCCTTCCACAAAACTCACATTTATATGGCTTCTCCACTAGAAAAAGGAACAATAAAAGAATTAAAATAACCACAAGAGACCACTAAAACACTGTCTTGCTTGAAGTGTGGTGGTTATAGCATTTGTGCTGGTGGAGGACCGCACTACACTGCTGGTCTTGATTAAATCAGAATCTCATTTATCCTTGGCAGATAAGCTCATTTTAAACTTTGATTCTTTGTGAGGTTGAACTTTTTTTCTGTACAGAGCAGTGCAGAGATAACAGCTATAATTTAGAATCAATGTTTTCTTTCTGAGCCCATGAAGAACACAGGATAAAGACAAATTCAAGGGCAAGCACAGCCTGGCTCCTGCAGAACTGGGCTAGCTAAGATTGAGTTATACCTGACTTGAAATTCAAGTCACCTCAGCTCTGTGCCTCCATTTCCCCATCTGTAAAATGGACAGAACTCTCTACAAGGCTTAAGAAGAAACATCTGTTGAGCATTTTAAGAGATTCAGATGAAAGGCACTACACCACAGTGAGGTGGCAATAGTCATCTGCCTGCAATTATGCTCCTGGGATTTTCCTCTCAGCTCAGGATGGGATGGGAGGAAGTCCCAGCAAAGTACATCTCACACTCTCCTCAAGTTGAGAGCTTGCTGGCACAGCCAGCGCCACTCGTATGAAAATGAACTGACAAGGTAGTGATGGGTCAAAGGCTGGACTTGATGATCTTGGAGGTCTTTTCCAACCAAAATGATTCTGTGATTCTGTGAAAATACCATGGACTTATTTGTTCAAGCAGGTTTGTGGGCTGTGACAGGGTTCCCATGGCCCCTCTCTGTGCACCAAGAGCAGAGCCAGTCTTGAGCTGGTTCCAGCAGCACCAGTGAGTGGTCACTGCTCCGTGTTGAGCCCTTCACAGGCTGAGCAAACCTTGCTGACTGTCTTTTCCACACCGAGTGTCCCAGTGACACACATCCAAAACACATGGAGTGCCTGTGAAGTCACTTACCAGAATGTGTCCTTAAGTGACCCGTAAGCGCATCCCTCCTTTGGCAGGCATAACTGCACAGGTGACACTTAAAAGGTTTTTCCCCTGTGTGTAGTTTAATGTGGCGGAGGAGGTTTCCCTTCTGAGTAAAGGAAGCTCCGCACTGATTACACTGGAATGGCCGTTCACCTTAAAATGACATACAGAAAAGGACATTTAATGGTTACGTGGGTATCATGCTGTCCTCTGCCTTTTTGGAAGAGGAAAGAATGAGATATTGGATTGATTTCTTTCTATAGAAACACACAGAGTGTGACTTCAGTGGGAGGGAGGTGCAGCTCTGGTGTCAGAGCTGCTCGTAGCATATGTAGGACTATGGAAAACACTGCACAGTTCTTCCATGGAAAGAAGTGCTCTGGAGGAGGCTGATTCCAACAAGCCAGCAATTTTTAGAAGGAAAAAAAAGCCTTATCTTACTGCAGGCTGAAACTTAAGATGCTCATTGGTTTGTTGCCAAAGTATGGCACAGAGAGAAATTTATATACAGACTGAAAATGGCAGCACAAAACCAAATTAACTTTTTTCTTTGTGCCAGAAATACTTCATTACATAGTGCCTTTCATCCAAAATTCTTAAAATGCCTCACCAACTTGCTTTTAATAATATTCAATCCTGATAAGAAGAAAGGTGGGTAAAGTGAGGCACAGAACAGCGAGTAACTTGATAAAGATCACATGTGGCATCAAGGATGGAACAAGGAAACCCTGATTTTGGTATCCTTTTTTAAAATAACTAGTATAGGTTAAAAATTATCTTATTTTCAGTACTCCAGCTCTTACAAGAACAACAGAGAGATATTTACCAGTGTGGCTACGCTTATGAACCATCAAGACATTGAGGCTAATGCAGGCTAATCCACAGATATCACAATTCATCTTTCCACTAGCTGGCCTGACGTTGTCATATGAACCCGAGTGTCTTTCCAGTTTAATGCTCTCATATTCGTTATATTCTCTGGGATATGTGTAAGGCAGTTCAGATTCTTCCAGGTTTTCCATTGGCTCAGAATTTAAAGCACTCTCCTCTCTTTCACTGTATTCACCTTTCACTTTAATCACATCATCTGCAGGTAAAACAAAGCACAGGAGTGAAAAAAGGCTAATCTTATAAATATCTTAGGGAAAAACAGCACTAAAAATTATAGAAAATGACAGTATCAATCTTCCTAAAAGTTTAACTGAAATATGCAGATGAAGAAATGAAGTTGAGATGTGGAACTTCACTGGTCATGGACGCTTAGTAATGCTCACAGTGAGATAACCCTTGAAAGCAATTAACCTGCCTGGTAATTATCTTTGATGGAGAACTTTCTTCTACAGATTATGAATATATAATGCAGTACAAATATCTCCTGAAGTTACTAGCCAGGATTCAAAAGGAAACACTTTTTCACACCATTCACAAGTATTATTTTTATAGAAATCAGCATTTCAGTTTCTTCTGTGAATTGGAAATACAGAAATACATAAATTTAACAAGTAATTATATCTTATAACTTCTACTTTCTTGTGGAACCTCTGGTGCTTAGAACAAGCCTAGGAAATATATCCGATCAGTGTAGGACTCCCAGTTCTCCCATGGGATAGATTCTCACTAGTTAAGCCTAATCAATAATCCTAATTTTCACTTGCAAATCACAGTTTTTATCCATAGACCTCAGACGTGTGAGGAGCAGTTGATAATCTTGATTTTCTATGTGAATAAAACTAGCAGAAGCAGGAAAGGGTTTCCTGATAAATAAATGTATCCCAGAAATGCCAAAAGCTTTGCCTGAAGTAATTTTGTGAGGATGTGGCAAAGAACCTGAGGCCTCATGAAGATCAGCATCCGTGGCCTTCAAACAGATTCCTGGTCCTGTAGCCAGTCCAGAGGAATCCAAAGGCATTGCCTTGAATGCAGCTCCATGACAAAGGTGGATGTAGCAGGCAGCTAATGATTTACTAAAGAGTAAAAATGCAAGCAAATTTGCCACACTGTATAAACAACAGATGATTCCCAGCTTAGGGTGCTGAATTTCCTTTCCACAATTAACTTCAACACTACCAGCACTTCCATTAAAATCTGTAATAACTTCCAGGACAGTTTTTTTTTCTGCTTAAAGCTGGCTGAGAAAGTTGGGGTTGTTCAGCCTGGAGAAGAGAAGGATGTGTGGAGACCTCACAGCACCTTCCAGTGTCTGAAGGAGTCACAAGGCAGCCAGAGAAGGACAATTCCTCATGAGCTGGAGTGACAGGACAGGAGGGAATGGCTTTAAGGTGAAAGAGGGAAAATTTTGGGTTGGCTATATGGAAGAAATTCCTCCCTGTGAAAGTAGGGAGGCTCTGGCACAAGTTGCCCAGAGAAGCTGTGGCTGTTCCATCCATGGAAGTGGATGGGGCTTGGACCAACCTGGGAGAGTGGAAACTGTCTTTGCCCAGGGCAAGGGGTGGGACTGGATGAGCTTTAAGGTCTTTCCAAACCAAGCCATTCCGTGGTTCTCTGACAAGAGACAGACTAAGGTTGAAACTCACGCTGTGCCTCAAGCTACCAAGTGAAGACAAGCACCACGAGATGCACCACACAGCTTCCTGTTTGAGCCTTGTTCTCTGGCCACGCCACCTGCTCCTTCCTCCAGCCGAGGATTAGACAGTTCAATCTGGCACTGGATCACTTGTCCTTTCTCCAAAGTACAGAACATGAGCTGCTGAATATGTATTAGCTCTGGTTCTGAGTAATAAACCACATCAAATGCCTAGAACAAACAATGGGTGGCAGTGAAAATGAGGTGGCGACATAAAAGCAACCTTGAAAAAGAAAGATCTGGCAACGTAGAATTTAATGAAATCAACATTTTCAGCTACATTTTAGGGAGAAAATCACTCCTCTGTCCTAATTGATTGTATTAAGTCCTGCCAATCTGTCTGACTTTGGGTTGACCTGGGGGAAATAGGTGGGTGATGGCTTCTTTGTCCTACACAAGACCCCACAGTAGTGTGGAAAACTCTTGGATCCCTCTTGTGCTCTCCTTGGATGGAGGAATTGATGGAAGAAAGGGGTTTTCTCCCATACTGTGTGTTTTTATCCCCTATCCTGGAAAATATTTGGATTTTGCTGTTGGGACTTACTGCCCCAGTCCTGGATTAGCTCAAGTGGGTTTAGGTGTTTTCTCAGAGGACCACAGGGATCTCCAGATTCACCCAAAAATGGGCTGTTTTTCTTTGTGGATCCTTCAGTACCAGCTCTGCTTCACACCCACAGATTCCTGCTTCCACAGAAACAGGGCTTCCTCTGCAGGTGCCTCCTGCTGCCAACTCCATGTCCAAGGGTGTGAGGGTGATCTTGCTATCAAGACTCCTTCAAAATTAGTTTATACAACCATTTCCATTTTCCAAGGAACAATGATTGCCAGTTGCTGAAAGCAGATTTCAACATCCATCCCTTTCCCAGGAAGGGAAAAAAGAAAAAAAAAAAAAGGCTTTTTTGGTTGGTTGGTTGTTTTTTTCCCCCCTCAAAAGGAGGCCGTTCCAAAATAATTTGCTACATCCTGCCCAGCATGGTAAAAGGAAGTACCCAGTGCAGCTGCACCTTGTTGGTGCTTTCAGAAACAATTTCAATTCCCACTTTCTACTTAACGTCTCACCTTTCCTCTGCATCACACGTGGTTGTTCAGCAGTGGAGGCCGAGCTGTGACCTCCAACAGAGGCTTCTGTGCTCTTTGCTTCTCTTTCTCACCATAGTGCTTGGCTCACAGCTCCAGAGCTGTGCCAGGGTCTGTGTGGCACAGTGTGGGCGCTGGTTTGAGACCCCCCCCATGGTACATCCTTAGGGACTGGTGCAAACTGGACAAATCATTTTATGATTCCACCATGGAAAATAATCACCTCTGCAGTTTCCACACTGCATGCGAGGCTTGTGTTTCCTTGTAGTAACAGAGGAGGATGCACCTGAGTTTTGATCAAGGCTTTTCCATCACTGCTTCTGCAAAAAACAGGGGCTGTTTCAGCTGTCCATGGCATCCAAAGTTCTAGTGTTTTCCTGTAGGTATTTGAAGGACTTTCACAGGGAAAATTCACCTTCTGATGACTGGGACCAGGAGAAGATACAAGAGAAGAGACTAGAAATATAAATTAGAAGGGTTGGGATTTTTTTTCACCCGTGATGGTTTAGAGGATGCTTCAGCTCCTGACAGCCAGACAGGAGACAGCTTTGGTGCAAAGCAGTCTGAGGAAAAGATGGTTTGGTATAGGTTGTACTAAAATTAACCAAGTGATTGCAGAGTCTGGAGCCACCAGATTACTTTTTCAGCCTGGAGTTTTCTCTGTACTGGCATGCACAGGGAATACCATGTGATCAGGAGATTGGCAGCTGTGTGGAAGGTTTGTATCTGTCACTTAAAAATAATATCAACATATTTTATTAGATCAGGGAGTTTCCAGGCTGGTCTGCCTTAATCAAGAGGAAGGAAGCTGTGACTTCATGTAGAATAGGGAAATTTAACTGAGGAAAAACACAATTATCCCTAAAAACACTAACAAAGTTCCCACAGTGGAAAAAATAAGAGCTATAATGTCTTCTATTAGGCAAGCAAAGAGGTTGTAACAGAAAAAAAAACATTCATAGAGTCCAAGCCAGGGAACTATTTTTCTTGAGGCAGTTCATGGAGTTAATATACACTGAGGAAAAAAAAGCTGCAGCTTTTACAGAACAAAGTGCTGGTGTGATGCGTTAAGGCTGATGCACATGGTTTCATTTCCTGGGGAGATGATTACAAGATGAAAGACATACTCCAGAGTAATATTTTTGTTTCACCTGAAACACTGTAAAAACAATGGGTTCTGGAAAAAGTCCAAAATAAAGCTGCGGTGGCAACTTCAGCCTGAGTCACCACCCAAACAGTGCTTGTGTGTGCTCTATAACATGATGGAATCACAAAGGGTTTGTGTTGGAAGGACATTAAAGCTCATCCAGTCCCACCCCCTGCCCTGGGCAGGGACACCTTCCACTCTCCCAGGTTGGTCCAAGCCCCATCCAGCCTGGCTTTGGGCACTCCCAGGGATGGAGTAGCCACAGCTCCTCTGTGCCAGGGCCTCCTCACCCTCACAGGGAAGGGTTTTTCCCATATATCCAATGCAAATTTTCCCTTTATCAGCTTAAAACCATTCCCTCCTGTTCCTGAAGCAGAGCGCCTCTCTGCTTTCTTTTAGGTCCTTTCAGATACTGGGTGGCTGCTCTGACTTCTCCATTCAATCCCTCTTCTCCAGGCTGAAAACGCAGAAATAAAAAAGTCAAGAGAGCCGAATAATTAGGGCAAGTTGGAGGGTTTCTGAATCTTAACTGTTTTCTCTAGGAGGAAGTTTCAGTAGGAAAGCCCCCCCAAATTCTCCATTTAACCTGAGACTCTGGCATCAAATACAGAGGAGAAAACCTAAGTTTTGTCCTGTTGTTAAGCAAAGTTTACCAGGAGCGATCGGAAAAGCACAAGGAATAAAACCCAGAAGCCATTAAAGACAACGGCAGGAAAGGGTGATGTAGCTCAAGTGTTTTACAAGGAGTGGGGTCATAATCGTGAAATCCTCAGCACATGCAAAAAGTCAACTGGGTAACAAAGAAACTTAATCATCTTAATGTGGCATTTTAATGATGCTGCTGATTTGCTGTGCCAATTCAGAGATAATGAGCCCCTAATGCTACAGATGTTCAGCCAGACTAAAGGAAAAAAAAAAAAAAAGGGAAAAGGAAAGCTTTTCTTGTATGCCATTTCCTAACTATCCAATTAAACAAATTGTGAAAGCATATAAATAGTTTACCAGGTTTTGACAGCTGTTAATGGGATTCAGATGCCGAGGAACAAGAAGGGAGTCGATACGGGGCATATTGGAGGGTTCTTGTGACTACCTGGGTTTGACAGGTATTAACTGATGATTCATCACTGTTATCCCCACAAAACCCTACAGACACATGCAAGAGTTGCTCCCCTCCCACAATAAGAGATTCCTGTACCCAACCCAGCCTGAGACAGAGAGTGGTGAAGCTGAAAAAGTCAGCGGAGTTTCCAAATTCAAGGCAGAATCCTGCATGTTTGTG